CGAAGGGCTCTTTGCATAAGTATCATTTAGAAGGAACTATGTAAAATAGTGACGCTATCAATATTTATCTTATATTATACTAATTAGTATATAAAAATAACAAGGAGTTTCTTTACGGGAAATTGTATATATTGAATTGCTTGCTTTAATTTAACATCGGTCTTAGCCGGCGATTAGTGAATCAAGATACTGTAACTAATTTGCCGTTTGTAGCCGTTCTCGTAGAGATATTTTAATTACCTTTGCAGCATCCAAAAGCTCACTTCGATTTGAAGAAGAGAAAAAATTAATATTGTATGATTTCAGCTCCGTTAATTAGATATTTTTGCATTACTATAATATTTCAGTTTCCCTATGTTAATTTAAGACTAAGAATCGAAGCTGGCAAGTTCGCTCGTTTACAGGTGCATAATCTTGATAGTCTGACTTAATTCCAGGATTTCGGGACACGGTCGGTTTTAATTGAACTACGGAATTTCGGAATTTCAGCCCGGCCATTTAGTTGAATATTTGGTGTCTAAAATTTTATTTCGTCTTTGAACACAAAAGGAAAAGGTGTTGTCGGGTCACACGGCCCACTGGGTGAGCATTTGTAGGGTAGTGGCCGTAGACTGAGTAACGGAAGGTAGGTCGTTCTCAAGAGACCTACTCCAAGGCCTGTGTTCTGATATTCTTTAAAAGCTATAAGTGACCCTGGCGTCTGGATAGGCGTTCCCCTGTCGGGCTCCATGGTGGATGGATAGCTACGGACGAAAGTCCATTCTTCTGGCATGGAGATCGATTAAATTCATCAACCAGAGCGAGCTTCCCAGGATACCCCTAAACCTATGTTACAGTAGTTCACCAAGCCTCAACAACAATCTAAACCACGGAGTGCATCTCCGGCGCTGAACAAAAGAGGAGAAAGGAGACCAGGCTGGCACAAAAGAATCAAACTGCGCCAACGGTAACATCCAAACCATCCACCTCCCGTGACCCAACTCTGATTCAGAGGCAGACTCCTAAGCTAACTACGGTAGGCGGAGAGAAAAAAAGGCAGAGGGTGGATGGCTCAACACCGACTTAACCACCGACGAAGAAAGTCAGACCAGCTCCAGCAGCTCCAATCAAAGGCAGTAAGGTAATTTTTTCCTTATCAAAACCCCAGACACCTGGACTAGTAGTAGTTAATAGCTTATGGCATTACTTGGTTTTTATCAAATTTGGTGTATCGTAATTACCTACTTATGAGCCATATTTACAGTAACTAACGGTGGTATTAGGTGTGAAAAAAACAGAAAATGTTTATTTAGAAACAAATTTGATCATTAAATCGCTGCTATTGTTCAAAATAATTTTTAGGAACCTATGTTTGTGAACGGTTTCCCGTATTGAACTCCCTGTGACTTGTTGATAGGTGTGGCCTTACAAAACTGAATATCCCTAAGGGTCTTGCGTACTTGAAGTAAAGTGCACAAGACCCTTAAGGAATATTTAGTTTGTAAGGAGTTAGTTACTTAAATAATTATTATTAATTATTCCTACTTGAGATATAATCGTCTATATAAAGTGGTTATAAACAACGATTACAGTTATCAGCTCAAGGTAACAGAACAAAATCACTGAGGATTAATCTTGCTACACACGATAAGTAAGATAAATTTAATCACTCTAAAGTAGCTTCTTTTCTGTTAATTTTACAAACCGCACTACCCACCGCATAACTATAAATTATGACCGTGTGTGTTTAAAAGGTAGCATCTTGTGAATGATAGAAACTACACAATACTCCGTGAATGCAAATAAAATCAATGTTCGGAGTAAAGCTAAAAATGTTGCTCACCAATAGAATAAGTGAACTGATTTAATAAAGGAAAATTATTAGATGAGTGGCTATTTGCATGTGTAAAACCCCTTAAAAGTAAAATTTCGAAGATTAATATACCTAGGTATAATAGTCATGTACCCACTTAAACTAATACCTGAGAAACAAATATTTTTATTATTATATTGATTGAAATTAGGTGTAGTAAACAAAATGGATGATGAGAACATTTTTTTATATTTTATCTGGATTAATGATATTAGGTGTAACAATGATGGTCATATAGTTTGCAACTCACTGTTGTTATACGAAGTGCAAAACTAATTCAAATGGGTTTGAGATAATGAAATCAGCTTTTGAAAATACTAACGCTAAAGAATCATCATAACCACGAGAGCTTTGTCCAAATAATGGGTCTCATAAATAAAAATGAAGCAAAAGCAGATCTCTCGCAAAAAGGTGTTCTTCTTTGATAAATAATGATGTAGTTTTGCCCCGAATTATATAAATGCTCCGTTAGTTAGACCGTTTGCTAGTTCAGATAGGAGTAATATGATGTTTGGATTTGAATATAAAAGGAATTGTTTGAAGTAGTAATAGAATTCCGGTCTAACGGAAGCATAAACAGTGCTATGAGCTCTGACAAAGTTTGATCTTCACCACAAATCCATTTTTGTAAAGCTTTATACATAAATGGATTTTTTGTGAACGTCAAACTCAAGCTTTCTAAATTCTCAAAAAGCGTCTGGCCAACGCAACGCACCCATTCTGGATTGTCTTCATTTTGAACGACCATTCGTGTTAAACACCACATGTACGTTATTTAGTTCTCCGATCCATGGTCCAAAGCTGTCATGGGATATGCTGCCAAGTTGGCTTCGAAATATTCCGGTCCGTACGTGGTATACAAAGTCGAGTCTCCGTCCTGTTTTATCCGTCCTATTCAGCTTCATTTGTAAAAAAATTGTTTCCATTATCGGTGTGTTAGTTGAATTTTTTCTGCTCAAAAGAGTTGCACTCGTTTTTTTTCCGAAGAAAGGGGGTGGTGTAACGAAGCACTCTGTTTCAAACAAATTGTATTTAAAACTAGGATAGAATCGGACAAGGGCCCTCGTTCGCACACAAATAAGCAGAGTATACCTGACCCAAGAATTCCAATCCACAAGGGGTATAAGTGCATAATTTTGGAAACTTCAGACGGGCTATTCGAGTGAGCCTAATCATCAGTAGTTAATTAACAGTGCTGCTGCCGATATGTTGTTTAACAATAATCCGTCATCAGAAGAAACAAGCAGTAAAAAACGACCCCCCCCCCACATTACACAAAATCTCAATGATGTCGGTCGGTCTGTCGGTCTGTCTGCCTATACTCTCAATTCCAGGTAAAATGCTGCACCGATTGGAATAAGATTTGGTACACATAATTATACTCAGTCATAAAAGAAAGAACTGAAAAGCATTATGGTAGAATCGCGCATGTGCAAATGTGCCAAACTCTAATTTCGGATTAAACGTCTGAACCAATTATAACCAAATTTGGTACACTTATTCTTAGGATTTGGTATTGTTGGAAGCGCGCTTAAATAGCACCAGTCCCAAATTTTTATGATAACAGGGGCCCGTGTAATTAACTAAAGAAGTTTTAATTTTTGAACGTTATCATAAGAGTACGCTGGCCGGCTGGAAAACCGATTTTCACTTGCATTTTGGGACCCTATACAAGGAAACAGTAGACGAGATCTTTTACATTTTTGGCTTTTTCACGCGTGCATTTTAGGACGATTTAGTTTATACTTCTCGACTCCGCACCGTTCAAGTTCAAGGTAGACTTTATATTACCACTCGCACGTTAGTAAGGGAGGTATTGCATTGCAGTAAAAAGCGACACCCAACCCCCCAACTTCTTTTACGTTTTAGAGTACCAGGAATCAGAATTACACAAAATCTTAATGATGTCGGTCGGTCTGTCGGTCTGTCTGCCTGTACTCTCAATTCCGGATAAAATTCTGAACCGAACATATTCTCAGTCATAAAAGGAAATGCTTCTGGGCCGAATCGCGCATGCGCAAATGTGTCAAACTCCCATTTCCGGTTAAACGTCTGAACCGATTAAACCAAATTTGCTACGAATGGACTGTCGAAGGAGAAGGGCTGCTGGAACGTCTAGACGAGGTATATCTACTGGCAATGTGAAAATGTAAGGGTGAATATATCTCGAAAACGAAGTTTCGGAAGAGAGTACTCGTAAAGGGCAAGATGGAACATCTGGACGAGACCGAGACAGGTCTACTGGTAACGTCAAAGCTTTCAGTGCAAATATCTGCATAACGGAGTGTCGACGTACTCTCAAAGGGCCGTTGGAACGTCTCGACGAGACATATCTACTGCACTGGAACTACGCTACTGCGCGTTTCAGGTCATCATCTTAGTCCCTTGAGGCATTTTTTTAGATGTCTTTTAGATGCGGTTTGTGATAGTGGCTTGAACATGGGGAGCCTTGTGGACCCTGCAATTGTAGTACAGTTTTTGGTCGCTATGAGTTAGGTCGTATTCCTTTGAAGGCCTTCATGCCTCCATATAAACCTCACCATCAATCGTGGGCCCTATCACCATGTATTCATAAGGTGAAACGCTCTCACAGTGCCAAAAAATGGTCGTTATCAATTTTCCAGACGAAGGTTTTTATTTTTTAGAGTCGGCCCACTGCATTGATTTCTGTTTTGTAAACAATAAAACAACCACTTTTGATACTTTTTTTAAGTCCAAATATTCGTGTATAATCTTAAATAATGTACTTTCAAATACCCTCAGCTTCTTTTGTAGGACTGGGAATTTCATTCGCCAATCAGGAAGTAATATGTCCATGTGATAAAAGCAGTGAAATATTAATTACACTAATCTTACAAGAGTAGTCTTGACTTAATTTGTTTAGGAAACCCATTTGCAATGTGTTTGTTTCCATATGAAGATTGCTAAAAAAAATGTATTTCGCACCGTATACAGATGGGCGAAGGTTGACCTTATGTGGGATCTTGTACATAGGTGGATAATTGTCAATATTTCAGTAAAGGCAGATTGATGTATACATCTGTTTACCAACAAGGGGGCTATTTATAGTTTTTCGGGTTCAAAGTTTGCTTCGAAATTATTTATGTTATTTAAAACAAATTGAAGTATTTATTTCAAGAGATATATTCACAAATTCAGTTGATACAACTTACTACTGTGTCTTTAAAATACATTATGTCGGTTTCGGTTTTGGTCTATTAGAGTTGTACATATCCGTAAATGTTTGGCACTGAAAATTTTTGCCATGCACAAAGGTGACCATGTAACAAATATTTTCAATTTCGCAGTCACTATCGCACCCCAGGGCCAATGAGGAATCCGCCTCACGACTTTGGAATCTAAACTCACGAAATAGAAATAGGCAAAGAAACTCTCGCGTGGGAAACTAACCTGAAATAGGATTCGGTAAGCTTAGGATCCTTAGTCATCCTCTCTACCAGCTTTGCAACGTCGTTTGGTGTTACACTGGAAAGACCGAATGATTCCTTAAAACTATAAAGCTTCTTCCATTGGGGAGAGATCTGGGGATCAGCATTTGCTTCTGTCAAATTATATGACCACGTATCGAAATCGAGCACGTTCTACGTAGAGACTATTTTAGAATTACACTAAAGGGGTGAGATCGTCATTACCTGTGTGTTTGAGTCAACTTCGTATACTTTGTAATTTGGATTTAAATCTGAATAGGGCGTAAGACTTCCTCCATTAAACGCAATATTAACCGGTTCGGGTTTCTTGTCTTGCGTAAATAGGATTACAGTGTCATCATTGTGGGTATGACCATTAAATTGAGCTGATATGATGTGTGAAAACCTGTAAAGTAAGGGATAGTTTGCCGTACGATATATATGACAGTGAAAAATACCTGTAGATGATTTTAGTATATTCTTCAGCCCAGTTGTGTAAGCAGGTCGCGTCGCCAGTGGCTACGTGCGACAGTATATGAACTCGCTCCCCTAGTTTTTCGGCTTTTGCTAGTGTATCGGCCAACCATTGTAGCTGCCCGAAGGGATCCTCGTCATCGTGGAATAACCAAAAGTTCATAGTATAGCAAACGTTGCTGTTTAACGCAATTATTCTGAATCCAGGTCTGTGTAGGACAGTGTAGTACCCTCCTTTTAGAATTGTTTGTTTGGTTTCCTTTGGTAGCCACCTACTCCACTCCTCAGCCACAAGCTCAAATATCCACCGCGTACTTAGAGAATGATTGTTATCAACAAATTTCGATGAAAACCTGAGAATTGAAACAATTAGAAAAATAACGAAACCTAAAAATCACGTACATGTTAACAGGATGCGGTTCATGGTTCCCTAAAATTGGATAAATTTTCAAGTTTCCAAAGGTTTCCTTTAGTTGCTTGAACACCTTGCTGATTGCCTCTGTGTTCTCCTTTATATTAGTTTTCCATACCTTATGGTTAATTATATCGCCAGTAAAGTATATTAAATCCACATCTCCCTGAAAATAATGCTCATATAGTCAACTGCAAACAATATAGCTTGCACTTACATGTTGATCAACTACATGATCTAAAACGTCAACAACCGAATGCCATGGTAAATCACAACCGCGATAGTCCCCCCAGTAACCTGCTTTGTCCTCAGATCTCAATCCTGGGCTATGCACCTGGCAGCATAACGGTTCTACGCAAACTGCATTTGATCCGATCTTATAATCGGGATCATAATGCATGTCAGTCAGCTGTAAAATCTTGTACGACTTTCCCGGCTTCGGATCTTGTACTTGCGGGGCATTATTTCTTAAGCGAGGCGGAATTTTTATTGTCCAATCTGTACGGTTGCTGTCTTTGCAGTTGAAATTTTGAAGAAGGATGGAACACACTCTCTCGGAAGTTAAATCTGGTTTATTATCGATGATATACCCCAAAATGTCTCTGTTAAGTTCTACAACTCCCTTGCATACTTCGGCTGATTCTATTATAATACTCTTGCAGATAAACTCTATTATATCTCCCAATGTTTCCACTGAAGCTCCTGCTCGCCGAGCTGTTATAACTATTCCCAAACCAATGTCACATGCCGGACACACAATGCTTTCCATCATGTCTCTCTGTTTCCGGACATATGACTTGCGGAATAACTGTGGAAACGCAATTTCTCTCGCAGTGAGGCGCAATTGGTCTGACTCCTCTCCAGTGCGAACATAGTGTTGTAGACCTCTGTACAGATTGTACTTCCAATCACCTTCAACGTCCAGATTAGTATCATCGCGGTTTAACAGATTAAAAAACTTACTTATCGTTGTTGGCGTAGAAAATTGAACTAGCGCAAAAATTAGCACCAATCTGAGATACATCTTGTCGAAAAACCACAACTAACTTCGTATAAGTGGGCATCCTTTATATACGTATGTAATCGCGGATAGTTTATCTCGAGTGGTCGACTTGAAGTAACTTGCATGTATTTCTTGGTATCTTATTTTGCTTTGTTGAAAACTGCGATAATTGGATGGGTTTAATTTATTTCTGCGAAGAGATTCGATAGTTTTTGCTTGGTGTATCCGATTTTTGCACTGACAAGATTCATTCATTGAACTGTTATAGTTATCTAAAGGGTGTAAGCTTATCGCAGAAATTTCTCGCAGCTCTTATCACGATCGTATTGTTTCTCTGATAGCGACGATGCACAAAGGGAGTACTTATCTTTGCTGACAGAAGTAGAAAAGGACACGAATGGAATCACTAATCCGGTTTTTCGCTCTCACACGGACTTGCTGTTACACAATTGGCTCTGATGCAACGTCATTTCGCGATTCATGACACTGACTTCCCATGACGTGGTTGGCGGTTGCACTACTCCACTAGAATCTTTCCCTATCAGATAGATACCTCTCGTAGAACCTTGACTTACTACATTCTAATCGCACCCATTTCACCCAACGGAAATTTCTGACCTAACGCAATTAAAATTAAGCTGCTTTTTCATATTTTTATGAACGCCCCTAGAAATCGAATTTAATTTAATTTGTTCAGTTTAGAAGAATGTGCGACGGCCACCCAGTATCTCCCAGAGGGTTTGGGATACCTAATCTGATCTCAATCTGATTTTTTTTCGGGCAATAAGTGTCGGGTGTTCGGGCGCCTTTTAAGCTTTTTATTAATCGATTGAGATTTTGGCTACGGAATATCGTACACCTTTCGCGTTTTCGGCATTATATTCGTACTACCGTGTTATTGCGACATCGTAAATACACAAAGAACAGATTGCTAAGGCTAACCATATACTCTTCATAGGTAACACAAGTATACTATTTAGGCCCTCTATTGAACTGCAGTATAAACATGTTCAGTAAAATTATGTACAGGATGTATGCATTAGATGTCACTGCACAAAATTAAATCGTTCAAGTTTTCACAATTCGAATTCCTTATTATTTTGTATAACGAATTTACGATAAACAATTTTCAAATTTAAAAGAATTGCTATCGTTTTCCTGCTTACTTAAATTCTATGGAATATTGTTCTCATAGTGGTTTCCGGAGGTTTTAGACTCTGTCGGAGATATAGAGCGTAATTCCATCTTAGTAGGGTTTTTGTTGCAAAGACAGCTGACCTGACCGTGCAAGGAGGGGGTTAGTAGTCATGTAACGAAGCCTTGAGTTTCATACCCGAAGTTGTGACCGCACCGTATATTTGTGAAGTCGACCAACTTTGCTGAACACCCGGTATCCAGAGGCCTTATAAGTCGGCCGCTTCGTTACTACGTAGTTTCTGAATTTACACATTTGCTCTAGAAGACGAGGCGTGTTTTCATTTTGTGTAATTATTAGTTCTGCCGCCGATAACGCATCTAAGTTAAGTATTAAATTTATCAGTTTTTCGATCGCTCCGGTAGGAATATTTAAATTGTTTTTACATCTAGTTTCTCTCTTATTAAGTTTAGGTCCGTTAATTACCGATTAATCGATTTTAGTTTTCTAATGATATACGAAAATCCAAGATTGAAACTGGCAAGGTCGTGCAGCTTGAGCAAGCGCAATAACCGATTGCGCCGTTTGACCTTACATTCCTAGGAACAAAAAGACCTTGCTTTATTTCAGAAGAAACGCGGTTAAAAAACTTGAAGTCTGACATTGGTCCCATATTTTTCCGATATTGGGGAGTTTGGAATTTAAGAAATGTAATGGAATTCTTTGCAAGTCCATGGAATTTTTTAAAATTCAATAAATTTATTTTGCAGTTTTGGAAGTCTGTTAAAAATCTGATGGATTTTTTTTTGGAATTCTTTTACACTTGAAATTTGAAATTTTGCTTGCTTGCAATCTATAAACCTTGGAAGTAAACGCCCGAAAGAACTTCATCCAGAGGGCAACAGACAAATTCGTAGAAGAAAAGGTATCCGACGGAAAGGTCCATCTTACAGTCCTATCATTTCACAATTATTTTATGAGCCAGGAAGGCCAATAAGTTTCTCACACGAAATTGAGCGAGTGTTGGTGCTGCAGTGGAAGAAGAGAATTGAAATGTCTGCACAGTACGCTCATAAAATCTCGAGGGAAAGAATGGTTTTCCACCGAACCGTCAAATTCCAAGTTATTCTTGCGCCAGAAATCTACTGATGTCACGTTCCTTGAAAGCTACTGATCTGCGAAGTCAAACATGCGCTTAAGTCTAATGATGGTACAGCAGAGACTTTTTTAACTTGTTTTCATTTAACGTTACTTTAGTTTCAAGACAGAAATGCTCCCAGTGAATAGATATTGAGATATATAGAATTTTGCTGTACCTATGTTATTAAATTTGATTTTTAATTAAGGTTAATTCAAAAGACCGTGGCCACAAAAAAATCAATCTATTTAAGTAACAAATCCCAAGGAAGGTTGTAAAAAATTAAGTAGGGGCATTTTTAAATGCATTAAGAGAGGGAAAATTGTAGTGTAGTAAAGTGATAAATATTCCTTTAGAAATACCTTTACTTGTGCAATTCCGCACGCATATGATCAATCGGGTATGATCGGAATTCTTAGAGGCTGCGATTTTCTGATACTTTCATGGAAGTAATCCTTCAAATGTTTCCAATATTTTAATTTCTATTGAAATATTGCTATTGGAATATTTCTGTTCGCAGTTCTCATAGGGACACCGATTTTAAGCAGATCAAGTACAATTATTAGGCATATCTGAGATTGTCAGTGATAATTTGGAATGGGAATTGATAAGGTACCTACTTTCTTTACTCTTTAGATATCTTCAAATAAGAGGAAAATTACATGACGCACCTAATCAAGCCGATAAAAGAATGCGTTAAGTGGATATGACTCTACGCCGGAAGGCAATTCCTACCTTCCTACCCTTCAAGTGGAATCTCTTCAATTCGGACCCTTTTGATATTTTTGGTAATGAATTCTGAAATGCAAATTTTTTTATCTACACTTACCACTAATTTCCTGGTAATGTTTTTACCTACTCGTATGTAAAAAGTACATCGAGAGTAGATCCTAAAATAAAATGATAGATATTAAATTAAGTATCTTCGTTACTTTATCATTTGATAAGTAAACTGAGCCTTGGAGTTATCGTTGCTACTCCGCAGCAACAATGAATCGCAGTTTAAAATATGGCGCCGGGAGTGAGTGTAACTTTAAACAAATTTGAAATTATCATGTTTAATCAGCATTTCAACAAGGCACCAGATTGAAAGATTTCCGCAGACCCACTTCCTTAATAAGCAAAACACCTATGTATTTAAAGGCGCTTTGGGCAGTCGAAAGAAATGTATTTTAATATAATACGAGTAGTACTGATATTTAGTATTTATGACTTCATTTTCCACAAAATAGTATAGCGAAAAACCATTGTAATCGCACAAATGAACCACTTGGTTATTATCTTCAAACATATGTATGCATATCTATAGTGTTCAACGCACAATGAACAATGCATAACAAAAAAAGGCAACAACCCCTGGTGTACTGATTTATAATTTATTGGGAACAGTTGACTTAACATGCACGTCTTGCAGCCTCGCCTTGGTAACAGAGTTTGAAGCGTTTTCCAAGAGGTTTTTTTTTGCGAGAACGTGTAAGCGAGAACTTCAGGCTGACAGTACGCTCACTCTGTGTTCAGTCGATCTATTAATTCCTGACTGAGTGGATCCATACCGTGAGACACAATTGATTAGATGAGTGGGAATACGTGGATGAACGGGATCCGTGAAATCACAGATTCTCCAAATCTGAGCGGATTATGCCCGTGAATTTACAATTGACAATTCAACTCATGTATAAAAAATCGCATAAGCCGCAGTGTAATTGTCACTTTGACAGCGGCAAAAGTTACCTGCAACTTTTCCAGCGACAAATGCACTAGTGGTTTTTTCACTTATTCATTTTGGAACAATTCTCGCATTATCCTTTCCCATATGATTAGCTTGACGTCTGTCAATAATTGACTAGTTTGGTGAATTTCTTGTTCGTTAAATTGTCCTGCCGAATTACACTCGAGGTTTGTATTTAAACCGAGTAAATTTGGGTTGCTGCAATTCAAATCTGTTTCCTTTTAGCAATTGAACTCGAAAAACTGTCAACCTAAAAATGCTCCACCTTCGGTGTCGCATTTTTATTAGTTGATAGTTTTTCTCGTCTAATTGCTAGGCAACAGATTTTCAGTACCTTAACAACCCAAATTTACTCGGTTAAATACAAACCTCTTGTGCAATTATAAGTGAGAATTATCTCTAGCGAAGTTTTCAGTGACTCATCAAATTCCAGGCGGGGATTACCTTAAAGAAGAAATTAAATCACGGGATCTTGATTGAACCACGCACCAGGAATGGGCAGAGCGAGAGGACATTTTAAATGGATTGGAACAAATATATTTTCCTTCAAGAGTTGTTCCTTTGACGCAGCTGTCAGATGGAGCACCGTAAGATCGACTATTCAGGCGTCATCAGCTGAATTCCACTAGTAAAATTTCGGAATTTCTCAAGTATCTCCGGTTTTGCATCATCTTCACATGAGAGAACCTACATTTACTATCATTCAGAGTCCCACTTCGTCTTCTCCTTAATCTTCTCAAAGTCATCAAGCGGCGGTGGATGTGTCACCCACCAAAGTTCCATCATCCAAGTCCCAAATTATCGTTACGTCGTTAAACTAATCAAATAAGAAAAAAGTGTTGAATGAATCAGAGCCAAAAGGGCGAGAGGGTGAGAAAAGCGAAGTATCCTCTGAAAGGCCCCTTAACTGATCTTTACATGGTATCGATGGGGCAAGTCGCATTTACCTTTGACCTTCTCAGCATTAATGCATATTGCATGAGCCCCTAACTTCCTTCACATCAAACAAAAGTACTCAACTTGAAATCAATGCCGAGCGAGTCGAAGGCGAGTTCGGCACAAATTAAAATAACTCCAGTCCCCAACTCATCAAACCTTCAGTTGTCGATTGTCACTTTCTTTTCCTTCATACGCCGTATCGAGATACACGTCGTTTAAACAAACAACTGAAAGCGTTAGAACGGATGGAATTTTAATTGCTATCATCCGTATATATTGAACCCTGAGGATTGGATTCACAATGTAGGGATTCCGAAGTAGTTAGTTTGGACGGGATTTCACCTATACTCCGAGTGTGATTATACAGTGCGTTCTTTCCTCTTTATCGTAAGCACAGCCGTTTGCATTTCGTTCACTTAGAGCGGATGTAATTTGTTATACTGCAATCGACAATTGTTGCTTCATCTACGGCCCTCTTATTTAAGAGGATTCAAATTCTAGTTTAAGTTACGATCCAGCTTAATTTCGGGATAAGTTATACATTACATACGATACGGTTTGACGCACAAGTTTTGTTACCTTGGGTTAAATTTACCGATACCTGCGAGTGCCTACGCCCTTGACTTATCTTTCCACTTTACCACGGAGTTAGGTGTGTGGAGTTTTTCCTTGTTTCAGGATCGGATTCGCTAACAGAAGAGCTTTCTACAGTTGCCGAGTATTATTTCAAGGTAAGATTGTTACGATTTATCTGTGATTCCTTGTGCTTGGAACAATTATTGATCGTATTTCATTTTGCTTTAGGAAACCTTTTGTTATGATGAGTAATTAGTTGCTAATCGATCATTCTTGATTGGTGGTTATGCAAAATGGGAGATTTTTAATTGCACAGTGCATTTACTAAGATTTGTGTCACGTAGTTTCTAATTTTGAATATTGAAGGGGAGGGGGACTATTCTGTAATTGTGATACGCTCTCCCATTGGGGAGGCAATTATTTTTATATTTTCCATTTGAGTGCGCTCCACCCCATTGGCAAGTGCAACGAAGTAATGACGAACATATGCCCAGAACGAACAACCGCTTTGGAAGAACTCAAACTCTTTTTTTGTGTTCCAATCCCAAGCTAGCTAACCGTTTATGCGGGGGGTTTGAGAAAACGCAGCTCCAACTCTGCCAACCGTTATTTATTATTTATTATTTATTATTTATTATTTATTATTTATTATTTATTATTTATTATTTATTATTTATTATTTATTATTTATTATTTATTATTTATTATTACACTTGTCAGGGTGTATATATAAATTTAACATTGATAATATAAGAGACATATGACACATTATTAATTAAAATGACGCGAATACAAAAACCTTTAAAATGTTACAAGATCAGTTGACTAGATTTTAGCAGCATATTAATGTAATACTTAATATCATAAGTATATTAATACTAAAAATACTTTCTCATACAGGCCCGTATGCCGCACTTCAATTAAAGCTGAACTGTGGTGCTAAGGGACCCTGGTTCGAATCCGGGTTCGGGCATGGATATTTGTAAATGTATAGTGGGTTGGGTTGGTAGAGCAGACTTGGCTGAAACCACCCCACTCAAAAATAAAGGCAAAATAAAAAAAATACCAAGTTGTTGTTGTGGTTATTTAATTAAATTGTAAGGTTTGAGGTGGAATGTTGTACTCAACCGCAAAACTGAAATAAGTCGGAATGATTTTCCCTAGGATTTTCCCTTCAACTTAAAGTTAAAATACTTGGTTTTGTTGTTTTTCCAATAACTTCTTAAATTATCTAATTGCAAATAGAGGAATATACCAATGTGTTTGTGTTTTATATTTAGGTAAGCTTTCTCTTAAAACTAGTTTTCGTAGATAACGTAATTGTGTCATTATTCTTCAAGTTGTTTATCGCTGGATATAGCCAAAGCGTTACCTTTTGTTTTACATGCTGTGTAACAAAATTTTCGCCTTCAACGGATAAATTGCTGCTCGATGTTAGAGGAGATGCATCTACATTTCCCGAATGCCGTAAATCATCGTTAATAGAGGAATTAGGCCTCATGCAGATAGAAACTTGTGGTCGTTGTGGACCATGATACTAAGCTAAGTATCATGGTTGTGGGCCATTCTAAAATGATGACAAGAGTCATTTCCTGTACCTGCGTCGTTTCCGTTTGATATTCTACAGCTGCAACAAAAGTGCGACAGCTTCCCTTTGAGGCATCTTCGTAGAAACGAAGTGACATAAAAGAGAAACCTTATTAATACGATAGACATGGATTACCACGACAAGTGCAAGATAACACGATCCCAAATAACAAAAATATTTGTAGTAATATCTCCACCACATTTTTTAAGTAAACCTCTCGCCAGGAAAGATTGCCGGTCACAGAACACTTGATCCCGGTCTACAATCTATGTTTTTCTCAAGATGTGAGCGACTTCCGTGATAGTATCGTGTCAATGTTGAACAAAAAGACTTTGCGTTCAACACTGGCACGATCCTATTCCGGAAGTCGCTCGCATCTTAAGAAAAACATAGATTGTAGATCGGCACAAGGTGTGCTGTGACCGGCAATCTTTCCTGGCGAGAGTTATAGTGTCGGTTTCCGGTTATCTACAGCAGGATCTGTTTCTGAACCTTTCTTTGTAAATTTACGTGACGCTCTAGAAAAATCCAAGGCGAAAACGTGGCTTCCTCTATGAGATTCTATAGAAGGTCAAGGTGGTGAGGAGGAGGCAATTATTTCAGTTGCTTTACTAGTCAGTAATGCAGATGTAGATATAAATCATTCAATATCTGACCACGCTGTAATTTTTGCAGAACTGTCTATTAGTATCTCACCTTATTACTCAAGATACATTGCATACAGGAACCTAAATGCTATTGATATTGATAAACTGCTCTTAGATCTTCAAAATATTGAGTGGCACTGTATTTATGGGACGAGTGACATTAATGATAAGGTACATTGTCTTAATAATATATTAACTGCTGTTTTTGACTTACATGCTCCATTAATAAACGCGAAAGTTAGAAGGAAGGCAGCGCCATGGCTAACGTATAATCTTAAATGCATGATGAAGGAAAGAAACAAAGCTGCAGCAAGATATCGTAATACAAAGGACCCAAACCATTTTCATTACTTCAAGGTTTTGAGGAACGTTGTGAATAAAGCGGTTACACGAGAAAAAAAGCCTACATAGAATTTAACATTCGTAATAACAAATAAATACCAATATTTACAAAGAGTTGAGTAGTCTAGGAATTGGATATAAACAAGAAAGTAACAAAATTCCCCCTCACCTAGATGATGTTAATGTAATTAACGTTTTTTTTGTATCTTCAAGTAACAATTCTAACACTAATCACAAATTGGTGAACTACTACATGTCAAAGTGGCAAAGTTTCATTGTCTGAAAAGTTTGCATTCAACTTAGTTAATGAAGAATCGATTATTAGGATAATTAATTCCATACATTCCAATGCCGCAGGATTAGATAACATTTCCTTGAAAATGATTAAATTGTGCTGTCCTGTGATACTGCCTGTCATACTGCCTATCATAAATTTTGCAATAGAACGTTCCATATTTCCAGATCTCTGGAAAATTTCGTTAGTATATCCTTTGCCAAAAAAAAAGATGTAAAAACGTTAAATGATCTAAGACCAATTAGTATACTATCTGTTATTTCAAAAATGTTAGAAAAAGTTTTGTGAAATCAGTTGAAATGCCATCTTTCAAAATTTAATCTTCTACCCGAGCTGCAATCTGAATTTAGAAACGGTTATAGTTGTGAGACTGCATTACTGAAAGTAACAGATGACATTTTTATCGATTTGGAGAAAAACAAATTAGTTGCATTGATCTTACTAGATTTTTCAAAAGCGTTTGATACTGTCAATCATGACATACTTCTCTCGGTGCTGTATCACGTAGGTTTGAATACTGACGCAATTACATTAATTTCGTGTTACTTAAAGAATAGGTCGCAGGCTGTCAAATATAACGGTGAAATTCACATACACTCAAAGTACCGTGCGGAGTTCCACAGGGATCGATATTTGGTCCTCTTCTATTTTCTATATATACTTCCCAAATTTTTAATGTAATAAAGCATTGTAATTACCACGTGTATGCAGATGACACGCAACTGTATTATAGTTTTGAAATTAATAAAATTGAAGCAGCTGTTACTATTCTCAATAACGACTTGAATAATTTTGTTAATTTTGCGGCTGATCATTGCTTTAAGATTTGAACAACATATAAAGTCGTGTATCCAGCGCGCTTATGCAAACTTGCGATATATTTATAGTATAAAGCATCTCCTCAATAAAAATTCCAAAATGACTTTGTGCAATGCTTTAGTGTTGTTGCATTTCACATTTTGTTCCACAGTTTACGGTCCCTGTCTCACGAAACATATCTCTAAGAGAGTGCAAATTGTACAAAAACCATGTCTCCGTCTTATCTTTGGAATAAAAAGAAATTTTCCTATTTCACATAAATTAAATGAGGTTTCTTGGCTTAATATGAATAAAAGACGTTTCCTTCATGCCTCGGTCCTATTTCATAAAGTTGTTACCTATAAATCGCCCTCCTACCTATATAATAAGATAACGTTTCGTACCGATGTTCACAACATTAACATCCGTCGTAAGGATCTACTCAATATTCGTAAACATAAATCTACTATGTATGAAAGATCATTTTCTTATGTAATTGGTAATATATAAAACTATTTACCTCTGGATGTTAAGTGTTGTGAGATTAAAAAGTTTAAAAATCAGGTCCGTAAATTGCTTTTAAGTAATAATCTGTGATTGTTAACTTTAGTTTGAAGTTATTGTTTGTTTATATCTTTCGTACATCATTTCTTTCCATGCTCATTGTATACTCAGACTTGCCTTATAAATAAGATTGTGTAAATAACGTTAATTGGTTAAGTGGAAGAGCAGGTAAGGATTTTTCCACACCTGAACTTCGCCAGTTGGACACTATCATATTTTTTTTTGTTTTCTTCTTTGTTTCTTCTCGTTATATTGATATTTTGTGTCCAATAAAGTCCTATTATATCATTATGAATATTACGCCATTGGAGTAGAACGGGCTGTTCTGTTCTAGCAAAATACAAAGAGATACGGTTTTGCTTGTAATTTCGAAACATCATCGGACCTACCCCCTTATTTTACTGAAAATTACAATTATAATTTATGTCTAGACTTTCCTTAAGCAAATTGCACTGATCCACGTGTTTATAATACGGCGTCACCATGTAACAGACATTTTCCGTTACGCAATCTCTGTTACATCCTTTACTAGTGGAGACCTCCGCATCTCTGAATTTCAGTCTGTAACCGCTTGAATCAAAATCCGAAACGCTTTCATGGATATTTACCTAAAATACTGATTAGACAGGTTACAGTCCCTGGTCATGTTCTGAACCAGCTCGTTCATACGGTGCGGAGTAATGCGGTCAACTTTGTATGCATCCGTGAACGAATACAGTTTAAACCAGCGCATAGGCCGATTCGGATGTAAGTTTGATTCGGAAATGTCATAAATCCACATCTCGTAATCCATCACTTCCTAAAAGTTGTAGGTGAGGAAACGCGCGATCGTCGTTAATCTTACAAAATTCAGTCTATTAACGTCGTATACGACGTAATTTGGATTAAAGTCAGAATAGGGCGTGAGACTGCCACCGTTGAAGGCCACATTTATTGGGTTGCTCAAATCGTTCCCTTCGTAATAAATTATATTTTCCTTAGCATGTGTGTGTCCGTTGAATTGCGCAGCAATGATATGCGAAAACCTAAAACGACTCGTTACTGTTTCAGTTGAAAAGGTACCAACCGATACCGAAGGATTATTTTGAAAAATTCTCTTGACCAATTTTGTAAACAGGTGCCATCGGCTGTGGGTACGTGTGATAGAATATGCACAATCTCGTTATTACGTTCAGCCTTGAACAACACCAGGACCAACCACCTCAGCTGATCGTAGGGATCTACATCATCGTACAACAACCACCTAAATAAGATAGCTTCACATTTTATTTTTAATTGGAGATCCTTACCAGTTATAGGAGAAACACACGTTACTATTAAGGGCAATAATTCTAAAACCAGGTTGCACCAGAACGGTGTAGTAACCTCCTTCTGAAATCGTTCCTTGGGTGGCACTGGGGAGCCACTTTCTCCATTCGGTGCGCATTAAATCGAACACCCATTGGGTGGATAACCTTCCTGTAATTGTAGAAGGGGAAAACCTAGAAGCTGCATTAAGAAAAATGTTTGAGATGATGGGGTCGATTACGCGTTCACTGGGTGCGTCTCGTGGTTGCCTAAGGTTGGATATATAGGAATCGATCTGAACGCTCCACTTAGTAAATTCATAACGTCGACTATTACTCTTGTGTTGCGATCCACGCTCGTGTCCCAAACCTTATGGTCAACTATATCTCCCGTGAAGTAGATGAAGTCGATATTTCTCTATAATCAGCAATTTAGATCGGGTGACTTGTTCGTACGTAAGTACATGCTCTGTGACAATTTGATTGATCGTCCCAATCAGAACGTGCCATGGCGTGTCACAGTTTCGATAATCTCCCCAGTGACCGGCAGCATTTGTAACGTTGGAAGGTGAGCTGCCGTTACGACAACACAATGGTTCCTCGCATGCGGCATTGGAACCTACTTGGTAGTCAGCGCTATAGTGTATGTCGGTTAAATGAAGAATCTTCAATGGCGTTGTCCTTTGCACGTGTCTCTAAAAAATTATCACGACACGTTGTTTATTATTTATGAAGTGTAGGAATTTTTCTGATTAATCATTGAGATATTTACTAGGTGCACCAGTACTGTACAGTCCAAAAATAAGACCATTAAAATGATTACAGCTTAGTAATTAAAAACTAAAGAATAATCAAAGTAGTTTTGATAGATTACACCTTCTATTAATAATTAAACATAGATAGATATTGATTAAACGTATAATCCAATTTGCCGCACTAATTCAATTTGGCATGTAGTAATGGTATACCGAAAATGGAGAATGCAGCATGCAGCAACGGGATTTCAGAAACCTGTATACGTATACCAAAGCACACTTCATTTTTGCCTGGTTAATGTAACGCACATAACGTAACAAGTCCAGAAGAGTCTAGATGGGCGCTTTTCACGCAATCTTTGGGAAGCTCTTTTTGTTCCTACTTCGTACGATATCCTTGACAGAGTGGGAAGACACAACACACTCCGTGTACATAATTAATACCTATATACTGATTACCTTTTTTGTGGACTCAAACGAAAACAGAAAATTAGGAGAGTGATACTGATAATATAAACGAAAAAGTATGTAAATGCATATGTATTTGATTGGCAAATAAGAAATCAGAAACTAATTAGGAGTAGAAAACTGTGAAATTTCTTTATATAGACGTGGCCAAAGGAGAATGTTCATTTACATTTTAATTGTCGAAGCCGCTTTTGCATGTTCCATCCACAATTCTCAAGAATTATTTAGCATTTTTAATTAACACCTGATAATCAATACGTAATTAGGAGAAATCCTCTTTATTTTCAAACAATTAAATTAAATTCAATCCTTGGGACGAATAGAAAGTTTGACATGAAAACTTGAAACACCAAGCTAACCATTTACAGATGAAACAAATCTATTCGATATCAATAAATCAATTAAGCTGAAACAAAAATAGGCACTTAGGGCCAGATGAAAAATACCACGCACATGCGTTCGACCGAAACAAGTTCCGCCCAAAAACTTTTCAGCTCTTCCTTTCATGTCTAATATGTGCACACAATTTAATCAGTTCAGCTGTGTAGCTGGAAATGAAAGTACAGAGAAACCGACCGACATTATCGAGATTTTGTTGATTCGGATTCCTAGTGTTTCAAAACGTATTTCCGTCAGTACCTCCTTTACTAACGTCCGGCTGGTAAAAATTACGCTCCCGAGGTCAGACGGGGACGCCAGTTAGTCCTGTGCCGCCCTGCCTATCAGTGACTGTAGTTCGTGTGCTTTTTCTGTGCATTTACAAACACTGCAACCTCCGGAAAGCGTGTTGTTTGATCACTTTGTTAGGAGAAAGTAATTATAAAAAATCTCAAAACTCATTTTGCGAGGCACACGTCTCTTGGCACTTGCAGGGGGGTTGAGGACACTGTTGCGGACAGATTAAAAACATTGTTGTTTTGGGATATAGACAGCCATCAAGATATAGACACCTGTCAAGACACTGAGAAAACCAAGGATAAAACTCCAAAACCCCCTCCAATTTTTATAACTGGTGTCAAGGTTGTCGTACTTGTGGTACAGTTACTAGAAACCATAACCAGGCAACAATCACATTGCGTTAAATGCGCAGTGAGCCACGCTACTAAATCACGTTCCCGAAAAACAAAATACCGATTACTCGTTATGGCGAGAGACCAAAAATATTAAACAGGTCATAAGACCCCATCAGTACCGTCAAGAATCATGTGCTAGAAGTAATGAGGAGAAAGCTCGTGTTTTTACAGAGAACTTGTCCAAAGTATTCCAACAACACCCATCAGAAAATGAACCGAATAGAATACAGATACTTGAAACCCTCTATCAACTTCAACCACCTGTCCCACGCATCAAAATCGCCAAAGTGCAAAGCAGAACACTACACCCCAAAAAAGCACCGAGGTACGAGCTGATTGCAGGGCAAACTCTTACACAAATGCCTTACCGGGGAATAAAATACCTCACACAACTATTGCAATTTTGCACATATATGGTACTTTCCAAGCCAGTGGAAGGTAGCACAAATCGTACTCATCCCGAAACCGGAGAAATCCCCTCTAACGAGAGGGCACTGAACTACCTGATCTATATGAGATAATGGCCGGAATACCACAAGACAGTGTCCTTGGGCTTCTTCTATACTTAATATGCACGACCGACCTTCCGACTACACCAAAAGTTCTAATAGCAACATTTGAGAACGACACCGAGGTTCTAGCCGCCGATAACTTTGCTACAGTCTTCCCCAGAGCTGCCCTACTGTTTATTTAAACAACACTCATCTGGCACAGCAAGAAGAAGTAAAAGGACTCACATGGCAAAAACACCTACTCTTAATCTAAACTCACCACCAACAAACTCTTTGTTTAAAAAGCCATAATAAACCGATTTGGTGCTATAGAATCCAACTCTGGGGTACCGTTTCCAACTCCAATGTGGAAATACTTGAACGCTTCCAGTCAAAAGTACTACGTATGATTGTAAATGCACCCTGTTACGTTCCAAACGCGGTCATTTGGAAAGGACTCAGCATACGCCCAAACGATCTGGCAACCAACCTTATGAATCCGTCAAGGAACAATAAGAGACTCTTGCGATATGTACCCAATGACTCACTAAGCAGGTTTTGATTACTTTTAGGAAGTTAGGGTTATAATTAAAGTTTAGATTTAAGGACTAAATCACTCAAGGTCTACAAAACCTACTTATTCTATGAAGATGGATAATGAACACTCTTCGACATGTTTTATAAATAATCACTTCCAAGTTTATACTTGCATATAAAGCATGATATTAAAAAAACTCGAATTATTATAATCTATTTTTACAACGACGTAAAGAAAACTCTCTAACTTTCTTCCATATTAAAAACTTTACGATTATAAGGACTGACTTGTGATCGCAATACAAACTTGCGGACTGCCATATACTAAAATTGCGCCGACGTTTCCCGTCTGCTTCGTCTTCATAAAACATTCTTTCCTTTCCTCACCTCCGCTTATCGCACTGACCGGTGATGACAACAATAACGACAGACAATTATATCATGCATTATACAGGGTGACCCATCATTACTGTAGGTGCTGATACCAAATAAAGCGTCCGCATGGCGTAGTTTACACAATAGTATATTAGATATCAAAGGACTAAAATATGTGTTTTATTCCCGAAGGTGCAATTAATGGCCCGAAACGAAGTTCAATCTACATCAAGTTCAAAATTCGCAGAAGAGAACTTTGTAGAATCAAGATAACTTTGTAATGTTAAAATTGTTACGTTATAATACGTGTCAGTTTAATATTAAGATTCTTGTACAATATTACTGCGCAGATGATTGTTTAAAACGTCGCAGAAGAAGCTAAGAGGGGTCTTTTTTATTTGTGTTGGCTGAATGATTTCCCTTCTAAAGTCATCTATTTGGGAGTGGTTAAATTCTTGGCGCGCTGTGGTGATGAACCAAATTTAATTATCAACCGACTTGTCACTGCAGATGTAATCTGGGTTCATCATTATGATCCAGAATCGAAACAAAAGTCGATGCAGTGACTTCAGCCCTCCTAACAAGTTTAAAGTCGCCCTTTCCGCAGGAAAAATAAAGACATCCATTTTTTGGGAGAATTTTCATGAGATTCATTATATGAATAAGGGTAGTACGGTAACGCAAGAGTACTATGTAAATGCATAGCATTGCCTTAGAGATGCTATTAAAGTAAAGAATCGTGGAAAACTGACGCAAGGTGCCTTGTTGCTCCACGACAATGCACCAGTGCACAAGTCCAGACTTAAAAAGCTGATGTACCTGCTTGTGGCTTTGAAGAAAACACCTTATAGTCTAGACCTAGCATTCAGTGACTATTTTTCGTTCCCGAATCTCAAAAAGAAAACACTAACGGGGACAAAATTTAGGGGCAATATGGCGAACATGTAGCAGCTGCTGGGTGCCATTTTGCGGAAAAACCACATAAATAGTTTGATACTGGATTAAAGACGTAATTAAAACGGTGTTATACCTGTATTCAAAACCAGTACAGGGGAACTATATTGAAAAGTCAAATTTTGTTGTTGTTCTAGTCTTTTTTTAAACGGTATAATGACTATAAAATATCATGCAGAAACCAGAATTTATACTTGAAGGTAACCAAATAGCATGTACTACATTGTGTATTTCCACTTGTCGCCCCCCCCCCCCCCGTTTTTAATAAAATTATTTCCAGTAGATTTTGACATCTTTTGATCAAAGTAGATGAGGTTACCAAATGAGTGCGCACAAATTGGTGTATAGGTAAGAATTTTGGCTAAACTGCTCCTAAACTTTTGACCTTGACCACAGAAAAGTGCGATATGCAATAATTATGACACAACTCAGGATCAAATCTTGCGAAAACTCGATTTCTAGTAGTAACGAATCACAATAGGGTCTTCATGAAAAAAAATATTGTAACTTTTTTGTGTCTTACTGTAAAGTTTATAACCTGTAATTAAACATCTCATATACAAAACTTTTTTCCCTAATTGCAGCATGTCAATAAACAACATACCTATAATATCGTAAAACTTTCAAATTTTGTCATGCAACCGACGACATGCCGATCTTGGCCGAGCGTCGCTTACGTCACTACGCGGGTTGCCGATCGGTAGTTATATTAGTGCATGACACTGATAGGAGTTCGATTAGACTTATTATGGCAATCGGCCATAAACTGAGTTCTGACTGGTTCCTAAAGGGGCAGTTAGATAGTCTGCCAAAGGTTGACGGGTTAATGGTCGCCGCCTTTTTTTCGAAAACTCGTTTGAGTGGAGTCAAAGCCCAGAAGCAAATCTGTTATGGTTCATAGGAAGTATAACATCAAGTTTTGTGTGTAT